CCCTTCAGGGTGGGGGTCCCCACTGGGGTGCCTGGGCAGCCTGGGTGAGGGGCTTATGGCCCTTTTCAGGCTGGCCATGGCCGCGGGCTGGAAGCAGGGATCTGGGTTTTATTTATCTTCTATAATTGAAACTTTGTATCCTTGAGCGGAGCTCAGGGCCCGCAGGGCAGGCGGGAAGCTTGGCTTTTTCCATCGCCTGGGGCAACCCAAGCCTCCTGCTCGCTCCAGCTCCGTGGCCGCTGCCATCTTAATTGAGTTAATTTGCATATTCACTCCTGATTGGCTGGTGGATGTGGCTTGTGGGCATGGCTTGTATGTGTAGCGGAGGTACGGTCAATTTGCATGTTTCTCTTTTATTAGATTAGATGCTATTCTTTAGGCTTATTAATATGTTTATGGTATTCTTTCTTTTTTTAACTTCCACCCCATTTCATTGTTAAAATGTAAGTGCCCTGTATCCTCTCTCTGTGCTTTATTAATATGTTCCCCTCCTATAATCTGTAATATTTCTCTTCTCTATTTCACAGAAACTCCTCTGAGAATACCAGTGACCTCCTATTATTCAAATTCAAAGATTATTTGTCAGTTCTATTTCCTTTTGACCTTTCGATTACATTTATTGCTATCAATCTGGGTTCTTAACACTTTCTAACACTGACTTTTCAGATAGTATGATTTCTCAGTTTTCTCACTTTTTCTGAGCATTTGTCTTCATAACTAACCTATTTGGGGAGGGCCTAATATTCAGTCTTTTTAAAAATTTATACATTTTTGTTTCAGAGAGGAAGGGAGAGAGAGAGAGAGAGAGAGAGAGAGAGAGAGAGAGAGAAACATCAATGATAAGAGAGAATCACTGGCCTCCTGCACACCCCACAGTGGGGATCAAGCCCACAACCCGGGCATATGCCCTGAATGGGTTCATATGTCGACGCTCAACCACTGAGCCATGCTAGCCAGGCAATATTCAGTCTTTATTCAACAATTTTTCCTCTCTTCATATGTTCTCTTAAAGGAGTACATCCACTCTTAAGTTCCCAATGACCAGGTCCGTGTAGACCAGCGGTTCTCAACCTGTGGGTCGTGACCCCTTTGGCGGTCGAACGACCCTTTCACAGGGGTCGCCTAAGACCATCCTGCATATCAGATATTTACATTACAATTCATAACAGTAGCAACATTACAGTTATGAAGTAGCAACGAAAATAATTTTATGGTTGGGTCACAACATGAGGAACTGTATTTAAAGGGCCAGAAGGTTAAGAACCACTGGTGTAGACAATTCCTAAATAATCATTTTAACCTTAGTTCTATCAATAGCCTCTTCTTTTAAATGCTTTTAAAATTTTTCTTAAGTTGTCTTCAATACTTTATCCAAAAGCCTCCATAATTTACTCATCTTTCCAGCGTAAGCCAGGATTTTTCCTAAGTTCCTGACTGCCATCCTCACTATTTCTCATATCTCTGAATATTTCTCAATTCCTTAAACTTTCTTCTAATAGTTAATTAAAACCACAGATTCCTCTTCTACCTTTTCTCTCACATGTGCATCTTCTTCCTCATTTCTATATCCAAGATTATAAGGTATCTTAATGCAACTCTCTTTTTTTTCCTTTATTTTTTTTAATTGTGGTTAAATATATATTAACATAAAATTGACCATTTTAACCATTTTCAAGTGTACAGTTCTATGGCACTAAGAATATTCATGATGTTGTGCAACCATCACTACTACCATCAATCTCCAGAATTTTTTTTATCTTTCCAAATTGAAACTCTGTATTATTAAACAGTAATACCCTATCTCTTTTTCCTTTTAAAAACTTCTTATAGTTCTATTATAATTCTCCCAAAATTTTGCCTTTCCCCTTTATAAACATCTAATATTGTTCTTTATTATTTACCAGATGAAAAGCAAGTTATTCTTTGAATGCAGTAGTTGTTTAAAAATGTTGCTGATGGCAGTGTACTAATGCTGATACTTTAAGAGTCATTTAGTCAGACATACTTCTATAAAACAACAATTCTGGGTTAGGATATTTTTAAAAATCTGTGGCCTAAGTTTCAATACTAGAAATAAAAAGTTCCAAAGTTCCAATAATACTATGATTCTACTACAGTTCCTGCAATTTGCAGAAAAACACTTCAACTGAGTACACTGTACTTCCGATTAACTAAAAAATATACTTCCAAATAAGAAATGACAGACCCTGGTTAATCTAAATAATTAATTTCATCATATTTTAGAATTATAAACTATTGTTAAATGCTTACTGTTTTTAAAGCAAAAAATTTCAACCCTACTATTAATCTCTGTTTTTATGAAATAGTTCCATTTCATAAATTTGTCCAATGGTGATTCAATTGTCTGTTTTTCCTTTTTCTATATTTTTAATAGTGTTATTCCTATAAAATAGAGACCATTTATATCAAATCATTTTGTATCCCATGTAGTTAAGATTCTACATGACAGTGATGTAAAAAATACTAACAAAAGGAAAAAACATAAACTCATCTGGTTAATTCAAGTAAGCCTCAAACAAAGCATAGCATTCACATTAGATGAATATTCTTTCATTGAAAGGATGAAGGAATGTAGGAAGGCATGAAGAGAGAATAAAAAAAAGAAAGACAGAAAGAAAAAAGTGTTCCAGTGGTTTATTCATTGCTTCTAATTCCTTATTGAGTCAATTTAGGACAGAATGTAAGTGTAGCTTATCAAATGCTCTGAGGGTGCATAAGGAAAATTATGACTGCTAAAGCAATCAGAGACCAAACTAAATATGGTTAGATAAGCTATTGTGAGCAATTAATTAAATTGCACTCAATGCAAACATGGAGTCCTTTTAATAAGTTTTTCCTTCTGGCTAATAATGTTTCTGAACACTAGATGGCACTAAACTAAAGGTTTAAATGCAAGTAAAAATCTGTAATACCATCAACAATAAAAAAAATATTAAAAACGAGAAAGTAAAAACACAAAGTTGACTTTTTTTAATATAGGTAGAAAAATCAGATAAAACTGCTTTGCATAAAATTCATATATCAATTTTTGATAGATCTCTTACCTGGGAAGAGGTCTGTACATCTCATAAATATCTCCCAATAGATTAGTCCAAGAGCATACATGTCTACTTGTTTCAAAGCTGATTCACAGTCCCTCAGGTTCACAGCTCCTTCTAGAACTTCTGGTGCCATATATCTGATTGTACCAACCTGAAAAATTAGAGCAACAATTTTCGGAATGAGAATGAAGGACATACATTAGACAGAAATTATACATCAATTTCATATCAACAAGATGTTAATAAGTTATTGTACCCTAACTATGTTACTGAAACTGTTCATACCTGATTTTCTTAATCTATAAAATGCCCTTGAATAATTAAACTGTGGTCAATACATCCTATTGCACACAATCAATAAAAAATAATGAGCTAGATCTTCCATTGCATATCAACATAAAAAACAACACCTTTAAGACACAGTGAGAAAAATGCAAAACAATATGTATACCACTTAATGTTTTTAAAAAGTCACAAAAAATATAAATGTATGTATAGACCTATATATGTAAATGCAGAGAAAAAGGCCACAGAAGGATATGCTCCACATTGTAATAGTGATTTATCAGAAGGTGACTAGGTCCTGTCTCACCTTGATAATTTTACTCCTACTTCAAAAATCAGTTCCTACAAATTTCTTCCTAATGCTTATAAAAAATGAACTTGAATGGCAGTGACTTCCATAATAAACTGATGAACTCTATGCAGTGTCTTTGGTATTTCTTAATTTTGTAATTCCTAAAATGCTATAATTGGTGGAATCCTATATAATAAAAGGCTAATATGCAAATAGAACGAACGGCCAAACAACTGAACAACCAGTAGCTACGATGTGCACTGACCACCAGATGATGTGCGCGGAATATGGCGGGTGTCGGTCATGGCAGGATGGTAGAGCAGGTGAGCAGGGGCGCCAGACCAAGGCGGGGCACTGGTCGCTGCCATCAGGGCGAGCCTCTGGTTGTTACTAAAAATTCTTTGCTCCCGTGCACCATGGTCCCGCCCGGCACTTGCACCTACTGCTGGTGCCAGCCCCACTCGGTGCCAATTGCTGGGTGCCGTCAACGGGTGAGAGCAGCGGCTGCCGGCCCAGATCACCCCTCAGGGCTTCTCCACCTCCCCCCTGCTCCTGAGGGGAGATCAGGGCCGGCAGCCACCTCTCCCGCCTGCTGCCGGCAACGGCCCCACTCGCACACAGTGCCGGAGCCGCTAATCACACCCACTGCCAGTGCCAGCCCCGCTTGCACCCGCTGCCAGTGCCCAATGCTGGTCCCAATCGCTCGGTGCCAACAGTGGGTTTGAGTGGCAGCTGATGGCCCTGACCACCCCTGAGAGCTTCTCCACCTCCCCTGCTCCTGAGGGGCGATCAAGGCAGCAGCTGCCGCTCGCAGCCACTGACAGCACCTGCCCTGCTCACACTGCTGCTGGTGCTGGCCCCAATCGCTCCGTGCCTTCAGTGGGTGCAAGCAGGGCCAATGCCGTCAGCACATGGGTGCAGCGGCGGTGGGAGTGGGGCTGCCGGCAAAAAGGGGACCAGGGGCCACAGCGGGAGGGGCCAGGCAGGGGTGTGGAGGATGGGCCGAGACCCGCCCCTGTGCCTACCACAGCCTCACTGCCCACAGTTCCTTTCAAGGTGCACGAATTCGTGCACTGGGCCCCTAGTATAAGGATAATTATCACGAGTAGTTATAAAGGTAGTGGATTCTTAAATGCAATTCATAATGTTTTCAAAGTATGTCTGTATGATTCTTCTTGTATACACGCACCTCACTTATGGCTGCATTATCTTCTTCTCCTGGGCGTACCAGTCTATTTCCAGTCAGCCTCATGGACAACCCAAAGTCACTAATAACACAAGTTCCATCATTTTTCACCAGGACATTTCTGCTGTTTAAATCTCGATGGGAAATTGCAGGTTTATAATGATCTGTTTGGATAATTTCAAATATTCATTAATGCTTAAATAGCACTACTGGACATGAAATGAGTATGCAAGTAACAGGGACTACAACATAACTATAAAAGGTAGTGGTGTTTTTTTTTCTACCTATTTATTTCCTAATAACAAAAAAGAACATAAGAAATCAAAATTTTAACTCAAAATCATTACTATTTTAAGTTACATTTTACAACATAATTCCTGTTGTATGTATAATTAATGAAGTTTTAAACTTCAACTGTAAGTAATAGCCAACATGCTGTTGCTTCTAATTTTAATACACACTTGGTGTTTTTTTCTCTTCATTTTAGGGCAGTGATTTTTCAACCTTTTTCATCTTATGCACACATATTCTGTGGCACACCAAAAAATATGTATTTTTGCCAATCTGACTCCAAAAAAAATTATAATTTTTATTCATGCACACTGGATGGCTATTGTATTGTGTTGGCTGTTATATTTGAAGATACTGAGTTCTCTGGGGGGGGGAAGGGGAATTAAATTACCTCTTAAATGTTTTGAAATAGTATAGTATAGTTGGACTATTTTTAGAATAATAGGTAAAATCTTAAGTTTCACACAGATACCATACTTTCTTGCAATAGCATATACATATATATTCATTTTTTTAAAAAGGTAAACTAGTGAAAATATTAAGTAATGTTTAAGACTAAGATATGCACTTAAATAAAACTCTTACTTGATGGCAATCCTTCCTTTCAGCCAATGTTTGACTTGAAACCTTGCTGAATTAGGCAAGCCTTGACAAGAGGGATTAGGAAGATATTTTTAAGTTCTGTGCTAAGCCAGCTTATTAAAGGAGCTATAACAATATTTAAGAGTAAGAATAAGGAAACACAGTCCAAATGGTTAATGTGCTAAAGCACTAAAGTGAGTGAGTGCATCAAGTTGCTACATAGGAAATAACATTGGTCAATTCTGTATTCAGGAAAAGCAAGATGTCAAGACAAATGAATTGCTAAATTATTCAAGAGAAATTATTTATATATGAAGCAGCAGCTAGAAAAGACGATCCATGCTATTATACATTGGAAAAAGATCTAAGAAATTGATACATTAAGAATTCTCTTCACTACAGAGGTCAGAGACACTGAAAAAACAATGTTCTGGGCTGTATTATGACAGGAAAATGCTGTAAGGGATGAAAGCTTGAGAAAGCACAAAGACAGATTTTCACAGCAAAGCTAATTTAGAGCTGCCTATGATATGAGGTGTATTTTGTAACAAAGTCAGAAAACAAATGTATTTTTTTTATTTTAAAATATTTTTTTATTGATTTCAGAGAGGAAGGGAGAAGGAAAGACAAACAGAAACATCAGTGATGAGAATCATTGATCAGCTGCCTCCTACATGCTCCACACTGGGGATTGAGCCTATAACCTGGGCATGTGCCCTGACCAGGAATCAAACTATGACCTCCTGGTTCATAGGTCTATGGTCAACCACTGAGCCATGCCAGCCAGGCAGCAATTGTATTAAAAGAACATTTTTAAAAGTATACCTATACGGGTATCTTTGCAAGGACAGTGTTCAGAGCTTTAATCAAATTCTTAATGGTATCCATGACCCCTCTAGAGTCCTGAAATTCTTTTTCTCATTCTTTCTATTAGATTTAAAATTCAGTTCTCATGTCAGATCTTTCAAATGGCTGGCTAATAAATCTGCTATATATAAAATATACTTTTACTTTGAAGATATGAATAAAATTTCCCTTTAATTTTTACTCCACATGAGTATCATTCCTCTTCTATTCACTGTCTTACCTCCTCGTGGTAATTCTGTATGAAGATAAGCCAGTCCTCTAGTCACAGAATGAGCCAGACGGCAAGAGCTTACCCAATCACTTGTATGGAGACTAAGATACTTGCATAGAGATCCCTATTTAGAAGACAAAATAAAATAAAAAAGAGAAAAAAACTGCAATTAATTTACTTGATTAGAAGATAAGTTATAAGTCTTATAAAGGACTTGCATAGGTTAGGATTCCATGGATATCTAATAAATTATGGCATTTCAGGATCTTGAAGGAGTAAGACATTTCCTTGGGTAGAGAGAAAGAAAAAAAAGAATTTAAACATGATCAATATTGGTTTTTCCAATATTTAAAATTATGAAGTTATTTCATTTTAAATACTTCTTTAATTTCAAATTAAGATAGAAAATGAGTCTTTTAGACTCTTTCTTTACACTATACCTCTTATCAGTACAAAAACAAATTATATTATGTTTTACAAATAGGGAATAGGAGATTTTTGTAAATATGTATGTGCCAGTGCTACTCAAAGTGCTCGTCCACAAGATATTAATTATCCACCAGCCTGGGATATGGAGCTTGCACCAGAATGAATGTCAATCAAAGTACTGCTTCCTTCATCAAGAAAGTCTTGTGGAAGGGTGAGAGGGTCGGGGGAGGGAAGGGATGGAGAGATAAGGGGGTACTAAACAGTTAACTAGTGACAGTTAATTCACATTCTGTGTGAGATCCCTTTCTTATTGCAGACCCTTAAACTAGTTTGCAAACCAGCGATGTTCTACTGAATATCTGATTAACTACTTGTATAAATCTCAGTTTATTTGAATGAAGAACTTACATTGGGATAGTACTCCATCACAAGCAAATACTCCATGCGTCCATCAGCAGTGACTCTTTCATCTCCAACTATAAAGCGAGCAATGTTGTCATGTTCCATCAAAGGCACTCTGTAAATGTTCTTTTCATTGATAAAATTTTGACGGTTTGCGAAGGAAAACATTTTTACAGCAACTGGACGCTCATCTAAGGAACCTTTATATACTGCTCCATATCGACCCCGGCCAATCAGCTGCAAATTTGTTTTGAAGCAAGCAAGGTATTAATTCAAATCACAATGGAAAAATCAAATTTACTAAATAAAGTGTACATCCATAAGTGTGCCACAGTTCTCTATTGCTTAAAGGTTAAATTATGCCACTGACAAGGAACTAATCAAGTCCACATTTTATATGGCTCAGGAAGCAACTACTAGACCCAGCCTTCCCAAAGACAGCAACAATAAACTCTGAAAAAAAATGTAAAAAGAAACTAAAAGTGCTGGAGAATGAAGAAAAGGAGTTAGATAGTGAGGGGAGTCAACACTTAAGAAAGGAATGGCATGTGTTACCCCTTTTATAGCTTTTAGCTTGAGGGCAGGCTGCAGTCAGCTCTGTGCATTGGAGCTAAAAACAGAATAGAAAATCTATAATCTTTCTGGCCCCAGGAACCAGAGGACAGAATTTGGGGTAATCACAGCTGCTGGAAAATGAAGGGAAATTTTCAGAAAGGAGAATCAGAGAAGGGGAAATGGAGTGAATGCATGGGACAAATTCCTGCTAGAGACAAAGTAACTGAACTGAGATTTGAGCTTCCGTCTAAGAGTTTGCAGTGTGTCCAACCAAGATAACTGCCTACTAAAACAACTGCCTACTAAAACAAACATTGAAAGTAAACACACTTCAGAAGAATCTAAAGAACATAGGGTCTGCATCATATTCATATTCACAATACCCACAATATAAAATTAAAAGTTACTTAATACACAAACAACCAGCAAAATGCAACCTGTTCTCTTCATTTTTTGGCTTCTGGGGATTTCTCTCACTTTTTTTTTTTTTTTTTTTTTTGGGACCCCACGGCCGCCCCGAGGCTGCGCCCAGACGGGGGCCGGGCAGGTGTCCCCGCGCGCCTCACTTTTTTATTAAAATAGGTTAGGGATTTACTATCATCAATTTAAGGATATTTGTTATATTTCACTCACTGTTTCTAAGTTAAAATTTAACAAACAGACTGTTCTTTAGAAAGGTTTATCAGTACCTGGTTAAATCAGCAATGTTTGGGAGTGTCTCTTTTACTCAATCCAGGATAAAATCCTATGGTTTTTAATAAGTTTTTTTTTCAATGTAGTAAATTGTACATTTAATTATAATACATTTACTAGCCACATTTATTTTGTGAATTGACAGTTCATTTATTTTGTCCATTTTTTTAATGAATTATTTCTTCATATGACTTATACTAGCTCTGTAGCAATTCTTTGTTTCTGTGTTGAAATACTTTTTTTGTATCTGGCTTTTAACTTTGTTATATTTTTCTCCCAAATGTAAGGTTCTTAAAAAGTTTTACATTATCAAATCTACCATGTCTACTATTTAACAGTCTCTGTAGTTTGAGGATCAGATTTATATACCTATTATATTACAGTCTCTGGTTTGGGGATCATAGTTTATTTATTTATCCTAATAAAGAATAAAACATTCATAATGATAAAACTTTTAACATAGTCCAGCCAGCATGGCTCAGTGGTCGAGCACCGACCTATGAACCAGGTCACAGTTCAATTCTTGGCCAGGGCATATGCCCGGGTTTCAGGTTTGATCCCCAGTGTGGTGTAGTGCAGGAGGCAGCCGATCAATGATTCTCTCTCATCATTAATGTTTCTATCTCTCTATCCCTCTCCCTTCCTCTCTGAAATTACAAGAAAAAAAATTAACTTTTAACATAACTTCTGAGAAATTGCCAAATAAAAATTAAGTTCTATGGATTATATAATAATCCTATGGGCCTATAAAAATATATAATATATTCACAGACAAGGAATATTTACTTGAATCTAATATGGATTCCTTGCCTGGCACATACTTCTCAGAATTTCATAATCCTTATTCCCAAACTCTGTTGAAGTCTGTACTCAAAGGTCAATTCCTTTCTAAATATACTTTCTTTAATAACCCCTTTTCCATAACTTTCTAACTTTCTTGTCCATTTTATTTTTTTCCATAGCACTTACTATTACTTGAAATAATATACATTGGTTTACCTGTTTATAGATTCTCTCCCACTACAAGTAAGTCTCAAGAGGGTTATCTATATTGTTCAGATATATTCTCAGTGCCTAGAATAGTCTTGGCACTAAACTGATATTCAATAAATGCTTATTGAATAAATAAACAAATGATTCAGTGAGTGAATAAAGTCACTGTCTCAGATATGGGAGCAGAAGAATGGTCCATAATCTAAGAGCAATCTTACCTCCAACAGTTTCAGATTATCTAGGTCAAGAGAAGGCTCTGATGCTGCTGCCTCCATCATGTTCATACTGTGCAGACCTTGTTTACGGTCTCCTATAGGAATAGGCAGAAGTAGTTACTGTGTGCTTCTCTTAAAGTGAAGATTTTACTATACTTTTTATTATATTACCATTAAAAAGAAGAGCTACAGAAGCGTAGGCAGCAAGGCTTATACCTAATGTCAATGGGTGTAAAACTATTTAGTAAACTAAGAATTATCTATAAATTAAGATGAGTGATGAATAACATGAAATCTGAATTCTGGGAGATGATTCCAGTAACAGACCTAGTTTAAAACCTTCAAAAATACTGCCAAGACATTAAAGGTAGTTTTATTAGTTATTCAAATAAATGAATGAGTGCTGATTTCCTAAAAGTTCATAGAACCTAAAGTTTATTAGAAACAACTGAACATTTGATGATACTGAGAAATTACTGTTACTTTTTAAAATTTGGAAATGGTATTGTGGTTATATATATTTTAAGTCCTTCTATTTCAGCAATAATACTGAAGTATTTATACATAAATGGCATGTGATTTTTAAAAAATAATCCAGTGGCACAGAAAGGTGTAGTGAGTGAGGCTATAGATGGATGATGTATAGAGGTGATAATTGTTGAAATTGGGTGATAAGTATTTTGTATATGTTTGAAACTTTTCATAAACACTAAAGGAAAAAGGATTAAGAGAGAAAAATGGGAGCTACTGTACCACAGAATGTTTTTTAGCATAAAGATTTTAAAAAGGAGAAAATAAGTATCAACTAAATGGCATGTTTAATAAACAACAGAATAAGAAGTTATATTTTTACCTGTCAGCATCCTGTATCCGAAGCATAAGGCAACTATCAAAACAGCTAATACAGAGACTGATGCTAAAGCAATGATTATTGTTTCATCTCGGTTAAATGAATGAGGTGGACCTAAAAGAAAACAAATTTTAAAATATAGTTATCATTAAAAAAGATGTACATATTTACAACAGAATATTACTTGGTCATTAAAAAAAAAAAAGAATGAAATCTTGCCATTTGTGATAGGTGGGTGGACCTAGAGGGTATTATGCTAAGGGAAATAAGTCAAAGACAAACACCATGTTATTTCATTTATAAGTGGAATCTAAAAAACAAAATAAACAAAACAGAAATAAACTCAAATACTGAGAAAAAAAAATGATGGTTGCCAGATGGAAGAGGGGTTTGAGAGGGATGATTAAAATAGTGAAGGAGCCCTAGCCAATTTGGCTCAGTGGAGAGAGCATTGGGCCCATGGACTGAAGGGACCCGGGTTTAATTCCGGTCAAGGGCATGTACCTTGGTTGCAGGCTGGATCCCGGGCCCTGGTCAGGGCATGCGGAAAGCAACCAATCGATATGTCTCACATCAATGTTTCTCTCTATCTGTCTCTCCCCCTCCCTTCCACTCTCTCTAAAAATCATTGGGAAAACATCCTCAGGTGAGGATTAACAAAACAAAACAAAAATATGGTAAAGGAAATAAGTAAAAATTGGCAGTTACAAAATAGTCACAGTGATTTAAAATATAGCATAAGAGATATAGTTAATAATATTATAATAGCTAAGTATGGTGTCATGTAGGTAGTTGACTTATTGGGGGATCACTTCATAAGTTATATAAATGTCTAACTACTATGCTGTACACCTGAAACTAATATAATAGTGAATGTCAAATGTAATTTAAAATTTTTTAATGTAAAAATATAGTTATGTTTTTTTTTTTAGTATTTTGTTAAATAGTGACAGAAAGACTGTATCACTATATAGTCGAATCTGCAATGTTTTTGCATCAAAGGAAATAAAAAATTAATAAATTTTAATAACTGAAAAGTATATATTTCATCAGATTATTTTATAAGATTATATACATTTAGGACACTGAAATACCTGTTAGTTACATTCCTAATTCTTAAAATACTAGAGACCCAATGCACGAAATTCATGCAAGAGTAGGCCTTCCTTCCCCCGGCTGCCAGCACCAGCTTCCCTCTGGCACCCAGGACCCGGGCTTCCCTCGCAGCCCCAGCTTTGTCCAAAAGGTCTTCTAGAAGGACGTCTGGTCTAATTAGCATATTATGCTTTTATTACTATAGATTAACTACATCATGGAACAGCACAGACAGAAGAGTATATTTAACAGAATAGTCTTGGAATCACATTTGGTGTCTTTTTCTAATAAGATTTTAGAGAGAGGAAGGGAGAGGTACAGAGAGACAGAAACATCAATGTGAGAGAGAAACATTGAGTGGTTGCCTCCTGAGCACCCCCTACTGGGGATTGAACCCACAACCTGGGCATAGGTCCTGTTCAGGAATCAAACCAGTGACCTTCGGCTCATGGGGAGATGCTCAACCAACTGAGCCACTCCGGCTGGACTCACATTTGGTTTTAAATCTTGACTCTACACCACTCTCTCAGTGACCTTTAGCAAGTTATTTGACTTTTCTGATATTCAATTCTCACATTAGTAAAAATAATAATCTCTACCTCACAAATCTTCTATGTGGCTTAGATGGAAATCTGAGTACTCAGTATAGTGTTGAGAATGTATTATCTATGCAATAATAGTAGTTATGTTTACCAATATTAATATTATGATTAAGAGAGTGTGGCTTTGCTGGTAGTTAAACCTGAACTGGACTTAAAACTCAGTTCTTCACTCTCACCGGTTTGGCTTAGTGGATTAGAGTGTCGGCCTGCGGACTGAGGGGTCCTGGGTTCGATTCTGATCAAGGGCACATGCCCAGGTTGCAGGCTCAATCCCCAGTGGGAGGTTGGGGGGTGTGCAGGAGGCAGCCTATCAATGATTCTCTCTCATCATTGATGTTTCTATCTTTCTCTCCCTTCTCCTCCCTCTCTGAAATCAATTATCTTAAAAACAAACAAACAAAAAAACCTCAGTTCTTCCACTTATTGTATGACCTTCAGAAAATTTCTTCACCTGTCTGAGCCTAAGTTTATTCACTTGCAGAAAGGGAACACACATATCTAAATCACAGGGCTATTATGAGCAGGTACACCATTTTATGTGTTAGTTCCTTCCATCAATCAGATCATGCCCAGAGAAACACCCTTTAGGATGGGTGTCCACCAACTGGAGTATGTCCAGAAGACATGAAGGTATGAGAACAATGAAATGTGATGGGCAGAGAAAAATGAAAGTGTCTGGTATACAAAAAGAGAAAATTTAAGAGCATATGATAGCTGTCTTCATGTGGAAAAATACATTTGTAGCTAGAAAGAATAACATGATCCAATTAGTGAGTGTTCCAAGGACAGCAGACAGAAAATACTGTTCTTGATCCATGGTTGGTTGAATCTGCAGATGTAAAATCTAGGAATATGGAAGGTCAACTGTGTAACCACAGACCTATCTCAAAGTGGACCTATCCTGTTTCTAACAAGATACTGAGTTGCTTTGCCCAGACAGCAGACCAAAACCACAAAGCATACAACAGAAGCATAGGAGAAAATTTTGACCTCCAGTTGCACCTGGAACCCCACCCTCCACCCCCCGTCCTTCCCCCAACTCCCATAAATGTTTCTAGAGAATGACAACTGGATTTTTAAAAACAATTAAATTTCTTAATGACAGCAACTAAGTAGCATTTTTATCATAACATCAATTCTGTCCATTCACTATACTTTTCCTGAGTTTTCCTACATGCAACTAGATGTCTTTAATGTTTTTCTTCTATGCTGTTCCTATAACTTCACTATTAAAACATATTAAACTACTTTTTTTTCTTCCCCACCACTGCCTGCCCCCCTATTAAACTATTTTTTAAAAGTTGGTTATGCTAGGTAACTTTAAGGTCCTTCTAATCCCAAAATTCTGTATAACTCTTTTAATGTTTCTTGAACCTCAGTATTCTCTTTACTTTTATTCCCAAATTTACAAAGAAAATGCAACATAACTTTTACATAAAATATTCATTAACCCAAAATCTGAAGTAGGAAATGTTAATTCATATACAGGGAGGATGAAAAAGTGTTAAGTAGATCTTTAAACACATTTAAAAAAACACACACACATGCTAGTGGTTAAATATTTCAAATGGAAAACTTTCCAGGATATGTCACATGGTCTAAAAATATGAGACCCCTGAAAAACTGCCAGAAAAAAATATTTCAATGTATATTCATATATGTGTGCAATAAAAGAGGCCTTTAACCAGAAAACTCTTTTATTTTTTGTTCCTTTTTTAAATTCTTTCTTTTTTGCATATATGCTATATATATGCTATATCTGAAATTGTTTTGTTCCCCTAGCTCTAATAAACCCTCTTCTTCCTCCCTATTAGCTCTCTCAGTTAAATACTCAGCCAAATGTAAACACTGCTATGTATGCCTGCGTGCAATGGCTCAGATTATACAAGCAAGCGCTTCCTGAACGCAGAACAGACAGGGAACTGCTGTCTGCCTCATTGGAGCCTAGGATGTTTCTGTTTACAAACCCTGGAGCCAGGCAGGGGCCACTACTGGAGGCAGTGCTATTTGCTTCCTTGCTACACTCAGCCTTTGTCTGGGTCTGTGTGAAAGAAAGAACAACATCGTTGCATGTGCAGCAAGCAACAAAAGAATTCTTAACTGATGGTTATTTGGCTCCTAAATCTTTTACAACTCTGCATGAAAAAGCAAATTAGGAATTTGTTCTTGTTTTTAATTTTTTAAGCAATGTACTTTTCATAAAAGCAGAGGAAAAACATTAAAATCAAAACAATTAATGTGATTACAATTAAATGAATTCCTTAGCAAAATAATTTAGATTGCCAAATATTGTTTCTGTGATAATGATATATTACACAGTTCAATGTTTTGAACAAATATTTCTATAAGAAATAAACAATTTTATTTTAATTACTATTTTTAGAATGGCAAATATACAGCAATCATGATCACAGTAATGTTTATGTTTAATGTCCTAAAAACAAATTAATAGGAGGCATATTTCTTTTTTTTCAAGTTGGTATTTAATACTATTTAAGACTTAACTTGCCTCAATCATTATGAATAGACTTTGTTTGTTAGAAACAAATAACAACAATAAACAAAAACAGTCCATAATCTGCTAAGTCCAGACATTTTATGGCTGAATTATAAAATGGAAAACTAAGGGAGAGAGAGAGAAACAGTTGAATTAAACAACAGCAAAAAGTTTAAAAAGACAACAGGAAAGACATTCAATGCCTAGCTTTCTTATTAACTTCTAGCTTAGTAAGGTTTATAATTTTAATTTCTTTAGAATAGGTGTTTTGTGATTAAAAGAGATTGATTTTCAGCACTGTGTTTCTTTTATTCAAGAACGGATTAAAACTAACAAAGTTAATTATATTTCATCAGAATAAAGTCATTAAATAAGTGTAAAAATAGCATTTAAGTAAATAGATTAAGAATTTTTAGTAAAGCCCTAACCAGTTTGGCTCGGTAGATAGAGCGTCGGCCTGCGGACTCAAGGGTCCCAGGTTTGATTCCA